AAAAACGTAAAATACAATCTCTCCATTCTCCGACTCTCCGTCTTTCTGTTTTTGCGTCCATTCGACAGATTCAGAATAGATTCCGATTGTAAAGGCTAATAACAGAATATTGACCCTGGGTGTAAATGTGAGCGCGAACGCGCAGCGTGTTTGTTCTGCGATTGGCCGATGAGCAGTCCCTACCTAACGTCGACCAGGATCGACTCCAGCTCACCTCCAGAGCCTCATAGGATAAGCCGTAAATTTGATCGATGGTCATATGGATTCCGTCGCCGAATCCCATCAAAGACACTTTAAAGGTGCAGTTGATGCATTTTTAAAACAGAAAGGCCGAGGTGCATCAACTGGACACCGGTAATACGCCGTTACTTGTGTGTTCAAATTAACATATATGAATATATCAAACTATCTGGAGACGCAAGCAGTTATTTTACTGGCCGACAGTCACTACCTTACTTCAGATACCGGTGTTTCAACAGCTGTTTTGAGGCTTTAGCCCCGAGCAACAATTTTCTTTTCTATTTTTCTGTATTTGATCCTGGCTCGGAATAATTCTATTGTTTCTAATCAAAACATACCGCATTTACTGAAGCATATCTCCACCCTGCCCTGTCTATTAAGGGCTCAAGCACCTACAGGGATGTGTGTAGCGGCAGACTCGCATCTGATGCCCCTCGCTGTATTAATTAGCGGCCCACCATCCAATCATCTGTGTTCTGTGTCCACCGCGGCCGAGACGATCAATCTCCATTGAGTTATGTGCGTGAGCCATTTTCTTGATTTAATTAAGATCTGCTGACAGTATGTTTTCTGCCTGTCGTTTATAAACTATAATTGTTAGCGCTCGAGCGAGTTGCTGCGGGGGAAGCGCTTGATCCGTAACTGAGCAATTGGTGCGGGAGGATACTGGTGAGGCACGTTGGAAAGAACAACAGCATCCTAGGTGAATTACTTTTTCTGAGTAACGTTCAGGCTTCGCAGGGCTAAAATGTTAATTCTCCAGCCACGCTGGCTAATTATGTAGCTGCGTTTTTATAACTCGGGCCACAGTGAAAAATGAGTCCGCCTTTGTTTCTGTTAAACAAAGGCAGAATCATCAATTATACAGCCTTGTGCCTTGAGTTTATACCACCTTTAAGTTTATACCACCTTTAACTTTAGTTGTTTCTAAAATAATTTGAATTTGTTTTATCAAATAGTAGTTGATGCCTAATTGTACTGTTATATAATATACTGAGAAGGGCTAATGAATTGTGTAAGACACTGGACAAAAAAAAGGACCTCAAGGACCAGTGTCCAAATACTAACCAGAGTGACAGATGGAAAGGCAGGTTAGGGGGATAAAGGTTGAAATTGAACCTGGGCATTTGGATAGTTTGAGGAGCCAAAAAGCTTAGCCCACAATGGGGCCCGTCCCTCATTTTAAGAACCACTGAGCTAAACCAATATTTATTTGATTAATATTTTTATTCAGTGATTGTCACAATAAATTATTAACATATTAACAATGCTGTTTGAAATAGACTTTCATAGAATAACTTGAGGTCATACAAATTTTTTGTTTGATTTAATTGTCTGATCGCACTTGGTATTAAATTTACCATCGATAACCAGCTTTGGTAATGAAATTTATATTTTTATTTCATCTTGATTTCCCAGATAGTCCATGATTTTATTTTTTATAAAAAATACAAATATTCTTCCACAGAGACATACATATTGGCAGTATTTACAGGCCCGTCGTGGTCTACATGACGTACAATCATCTAGCTTTACACGGCACCAATTATACAGAAGTTGTTTTTAATGATACAGTATTTTGTTTTAAAAAGGCCTCGTGACCAGAAAATTCAAACACTAGAAGCAAAACAGATCGAAAAAAACAAAACAAAACAACAAAAACACGTGGTACAGTAAATCACAGATAAAACGTGAACATGCAGAAAACAATCAAGAGTCATTGTCCGGTAGATCACACACTGCAAATAAGGCGAAACAGTCCAAGCAGCAGCAAATAAGCGAGTTTAATGGAAAATATGCAACATGTTTTCCAGTAAGGTATCAAGTCAGCAGTGTCCATGCTCAATTCCACTATGGATCCAGTGCAACGTTAGTGACACCATTGACCAATCGGAACAAAGCAATCTTGGTTGGTTTGAAAGTCCACGTCATCACATCGACATCTTTTAACTGATTTCTGGAAAACAAACGTGAGCTCTAAGAGTCATCATCCGTTTTTATGACATGAAAGAGAGTGACATTGAATATGACTTGGTGCCCATTGTTCCAGGCGTAAAGCGCTCTCTCCCTGGCGTTGTAATCAAGCATGGAGATGTGAAAGTACTGGTTGTGGAAAGGAATGTCGATGTACTCGTACGTGGAGGTCTTGGTCGAGTACGAGTAGTAAACCTTCGCTCCAGACAAGTGGGAGTTGGTGATGTATAGCGTTCCACAGATCATGAATGATTCGCCCGCATTTCTCTTGGAGTATTCGGTATTCCAGGTCTTCAGGACGTGCAGGGTGTCGGGGTCGATCTGGGAGATGACAATGTTTCCTGCGTTTTGATTGGTGGCGTAGACGACCCACATACCCAGCTCATCTGCCATAACGTCGATGTCGGAGTATCCGCCCCACGTGTACGGGTACATGTTGTGGAAGCCTGCGAACTCCAAGGCTCGCTGGGCTAACACGCTGCCTGACTCAAAACTGTACTTGACAATTATGTTGCTCTGGTACTTGTTGTAGAAAAGCGATCCGTTGTAGACGATGTGGTTGGTTCCCTCCCATTTAAATGGCAGGCTGTATGTTCGGGAAACCGCACCTGACACGAAGTCGTCCATGGTCTTGTACTCGCGGACGATCTTGCTGTTGGTGTAGCTGTCCATATACCACACCTGTGTACGACAGCATAAAACAAGTGACTATCAACACTAGGGCCGCGGACATTTACACAGTAGTCTTGTTGATTTTATTTCTGGGAATGACTCAGATGTTGTTAATTGTGACAAGCGTTCCATTAGGGAACGCCGTCTCAAGACTAGAGTGCATTCGTGGAGGCTACAACTTTGGCTCAGACAACTGGTCGCAGCAATATACCAACATTTTTTAATATATATCTAGGAATGTTTATTTATATGGATTAATTGCTATTGTAATAAGTCACGATTAATCGTGATTGATCAACAGTTTCCCTGTGATTAATCAGATACATTTTTATTGGTCGACAACCGTAATCTTAACATAGTTGAGAAATTGACACAAACTTGGTTTTATTATCTAGTTAGCATCGCTATAAGCATGGATTTCCTGGAGCTGCCAGTAGGGGGTGGGCAAGATAAAAAATTTGATTTGTGGTTTGCAGTTGGTTTTTACGTAAGGACATGTAAATAAACACATTATATATACATATGTTTTATGTGCGTTCTGGTCAATTGGGTGGGATTGGGTTTTATTTTCCGAAGCTGTAGGACACGGTTGGGATATGGGGGGTGCGGGGGGGGGTAGTTTGGGGAACTTCGTCTTTAAAGTTTATAATCTAAAAACATTGCTGTCCAAAATTACACAGTGTACACAGTTGAGGGAAACACTGCTGCCATCAATAACTTACCCTGTTGTTTCTGGTGGCTGCTAGAGGATCAGTCATCCATGCACCAAACCGGGTTCCAGATGTCTTTATTGTTACAGGTCCAGTGATTTTCATTAATTTCCCACATGCTGTTAATAAAGAAATGCAGCAATAAGAAGAGCTGTGTTATTTTTTTTTTTCATTACTAGGTTTCTCAAGCCAATTTCATGCATGTGCCACCAGAGACTGTCCTTTGTGCACAACATTTTTTTTTTTTAAACTAGAAGCCAATGCTGGTTGTGGCCGAAAGTAACAACAACAAAAAAAAGGCCTTTATGTTTAGCCCGAAAGCTATGAGGACTAAAAAATATTAAAAGTTCTTTAAACACACATGCAGTGGTTACAACATTAGTTCTGAGCGGATTACTGCAAATTGACATTAATGCTAATTTACAACCGGTTTGATCTGAGCTTAATTAGCTAGTGGCTCCGAGTCTTTAATTACAGCAAGTATGACAATTTTTCTCCAGCGGCAGCGTTCATTAATCTTTGTGAAACAATAGCCTACGTAGACAAGTTCTGCCAGGGACACTTCTTTATTTATTGTGTCCGGAAGACTCCGGGAATGTTCTTTTCACTGAACCTTTGTTCTGTGTCCTCAAAGCTGTGCAAATGATGTATGACCTCAATGACCTGCTCTGGTTAAGGAGTAGAAGCCACATGCACGGAAAGTTTTTGGTATTTTTTGTACTATGGCAGTGTGATGCAGTTATTCACTTCTGACTTGATAAGGACAGAAATGCCCTGGAAATAAACTGCTATTTTCGATGCGCAATATAGGCCTTAAATTGTGTGCAGTGTTAAATTGCCCAAAGCAAACATGGACGTTTGACGTGTTTTCATATCAGCAAATGTTTGTGATTATCTTTCCATCTCATATATCTTTCTGTGCTCATCATATATGCATATTTCTGCAGAATTTGAATAATAAACTCTTTTAACAGAAGGACAATAGTTATATTCCCATCATAACGATATTGGAGAGAGAAATCATGTCAATGACAGTTAAATATATTTTTTTTACTACAAAGTAAAACCTTAGCTAACTACTTACTTAGTTTGCCCATGCAACTGCGAAGCCTGTTGTCCAATCGCAGGACTCGCTGGTACAGCTCGTCGTAGTCGTAGGCCCCGAGTTCTTCTTGGATGCCTGTTAAGACAGCTGACAGGTTCCTGATTTCCTCCTTAAACTGTGAGATGAGCGCGGCATCCATCTTGTACTGTTCTAGCACGGGGATCAGCGGCTTCAGTTCGTCCATCTTGTCCTGAAGCTCCTGCAGAGCGGCAGACAGTTGCAGAAATTGAAAACACAGGGAGATCGGAAAAAAGAGTATAGAACATAGTATCCTAAGCCAAATCGCAATGCACGAAATAATAGGATCTGTTGATGGTCAGCGATGGCGCTGTTATTTTTTCCATCTGATTTAGTGCCTGTTTGCTTTTGTGACTTTACTAAATAAAGGCAATACTAATATTTAGTCACAGTATTTATAATATTGTAACACGTTATTCACGGTGCATTTACCCCACACCAGAGTTGTTGTTTTTTTTACCCCTAACCCTATTCACAAAATCATCTTTTTACTAATAGAGGACAGGGGTCACCAACTATATTTGTCGGAGGGCTCGAAATTTTTCTGGACAGACACCGTAGCGGCTGGACACTCAAATAAACAACTAATTTTTGTCTAACATTATTATTTGATGTTTATTTTAGAACCAAGTTGCGGCCCGAATTGGACTGTTCTGTGGTCCAGAATTGTCCCGCGGGCCACTAGTTGATTATCACTTAACCACTGTATTTATTGAATTTAACGTCTGTGTTGTTATTGCTTGCCAAAATGTACCATTTGTATTTATTAGCTTTTATTTTAAAACATAGACAACTGACTAGGACGTAAATATAAACGAAAAATGTCTTTAAAAAAACAAGACATTGGAATGTGAACAGAACACAATACAACATGGCTGTCCGTTACCTGGAAATTCCTGGCCATGATGGATTTCCTGTCATCCTCAATTTGTCTAAACTTGGTCCTCAGGCCTTTCATCTGATTCTCCATCTTGACGACGTATTGAAAATCCCTTTGAGTTCTCAGATTAAGAACTTCAATTGACTGCGACATGTTCTGCACCTAAAATGAAATTAGACCGGAGACTGTGACAGACAAATGCACTAAGCAGACAGTAAATTGTTGAATCCGTAAGAAGCCTTTTTTTTTCGTTTTCCTGTTGAATCCGTAAGAAGCCTTTTTTTTTTTTTCGTTTTCCAGAAGCTTTACAATTTTGGTGCATTTGTTTCGCAGCAGGCAGTTTTATGAGGTTTTCCTCATTGAAACTCAGCTCCTCTGTCCCCGAACGTGTTGCAGTATATTGTTTTAAAAGGAACAAACATGTCAAAAACTCGCTGCAGTGTACCTACATTAAATAGTCATTATAAAGCATTTAGCTTTTGTAATGCTCATAATGCTCCTCAGGAGTCGTAAAAGCTTTCTATCCCTTTATATTTATCTTTTCTTTTTTTATATATATCTGTTTGTCTGCTTATGTTTGTACAAAATACACCAAGGCGATAAAGTACGCCCATTTACCTTCTCTAGTAGCTGACGGAGCTGCCTGCTCTTGGCATCTCTGGAGCACAGACTCTGTTCTGGCGCCACCACCGTGCAGATGCAACGCCCATCAGCGTCCTGGGCCGAGCTGTAAACCTGCCAGCCCTCCTTTGGTCCAATAGTCTGCAAGTACAGTTAATGTGCATCTTAGTTAGACAAATGAATTACTTTACGAGTTCTGGTTTGAAGTCTATTATGTCAACTCTGTGATATTATACTTTTATTAGACTGTTGCTGGCCAGCAATACGGGATTGGCAATCAAATACTCCTCAGAGTGGAGGCAGATTGGATTACAACTCCCTCCCTTCCACTCACCCCCCCCTTCTATTTGAAGTGAAATGAAATATAATTTATAAGAAATAATATTCAAAATGGATTTCATCTTAATGAACCTTTGTGTGAGTTGGAATATCTAATGTGATGCAATCTAAAATCTTTAATTTGTAATGTTCTTGTTCCAGCCCTGAAAAGACTAATACAATTTTTCTGTCCTTACAAAATCAGTTCTGTTAACAAAATAATAGTAGTTAGGGATAGATTTTATTTAAAAGAATATTAAATGCATTAGAGAATTTTTTTTTATTTTTATTTTTTACTTAATTTTATGTCCAAAAACGATCCAAACCGAAGGCACATTTATTCATTTCTCCTCACAAAGGAGGAGGTTTTAACCTAAAAAGTGAACTGCCTATCTAAGCTTGCAGAATTCACCAGAAAAGCATTTTTATTTAAGCTTATTAAAATTCCCTTAGAGGCTTAATTTATAAAAAATAAAAATAAAAAAAAAGAAGTAAAATATGGGGTCACAAACTATTTTTGTCTGAGGGCCAGAATCTAGAAAGGCACCTTGGAGGCAGGACACTAATATGAAATATAAATCACATTTTTGTCCAACATTTATATTTTCGAATATAGCCATGGGCCAGATTTGACAATTTGGCAGGACCGAATTCAGGCCACGAGCCACCAGTTGATCATAGATGTTGAACATTAATTGCAATAACCATGCAACCAGTCATTTGTTTGTTTTACTTAATATGGCCGTGTTCTCTGTTGGGAAACTGCAGCTCGAGGGCAACAGTGGGTTCACAGTGTTGTTCAAAGACGCTAGTCTGTTAATACCCCCCTCCCCTCCACGAAAAAGAACACAGCAACCCAAAGCCACCCAGCGGCGCTGTACCTTACTGCACAGCAAATGCACACCGTCACATACAGTATGCCGGTCACGGGCGAAACGCAACCGGTTGCCAAGAAACATTCATGTTCCTTCTGCTCAATCTTGTGGTTTCTTAGGTGTGAAGCACAGTGTTGTGGAACCGCCAGCCAAACAATATTCGGTGCCAGCGCAATATGTTCAGAGTCAAACCCACTCATCAAAAATGGACCCTGCGGGGGTTAAGGCTCGGTGTTGCCATGTATTGTACGAGCAAATGAAAAACGCACCTAGTTATCCTACAGCTGTTCTTTTGCTTAGCAATCATTAAAAAACAACAACAAACAGTTTAATATAATCTCACGATAAAATAAAAGCACCTGCGACCCATTATGGTTCATTATAATTATTTGCTTTCGCAACCATGAATTTTTCCTTCAGTTGTTTTCAAGACGATCAGAGTGCAGTTGCAAATGAACCCACACTGATGGCACAGAACAAAACAGATGTTTTCCATTCAACAGTGAAACTGACTGTTTTAGTATGCACAGCCGGTCAATGGCAGTCAAAAACTTTTGACCCCTGTTATCGCCGAAGAGGGCTGGAGCATAAAGCGTATTTCGGAAATGTGCTACATAACAAAATGAATGGGAGAAAAAAAAAAATATATATATATATAAAAAAAATCACTTTTATTTACATCCTCAATGTTGCCCTTTTTTTTTTTTCATGAACATTTATTCTATTATAATTAAAAGTAATAAAAAATGGTGCAATTATATATATATATATATTTATATATACAATAACAGTTAACTCACAATTTCCCATTTACAGACAACGCATTAAACAAGAAAACGTTCCATATCCGCTGTAAAACCCAGCGAGTTAAGATAAGGCCGACCCATTACCATTAATAATGAACGATCATGACTTTGTTTCTTTTATTGCAGCTCACAAGGTCAGGTGGGAAAAAGAAAAAAAAAAAAAAAAAAAAGAGGGCCCGACTTTTCATTCCTTTTACGAGGCCTCTGAATTGAACTGTAAATTACCTTAAACTCACCATGCCCGGTGAAATCAAGAGTGACATTAACAGAACGCTATATAATGTTCGAGGCCAATGAGAAATAACGAGATGGCAAAAAAGAAAGATGAAACAATCGGATATGAACTGCTCAGCTGTATATTTTATTGTCATCGAAATCCCTCCCTGCTTTTTTATTTCTGCGTCTAATAATAAGTGTTTAATAAGTGTAATAATTAATATTGACATATCCAGCCAACCTCCCCCCCAAACCATTACTTATATATACCTAATCTGCTGCTTCCTTTTTAAAATATTGTCATATTCCAGCAGGATGCCCATTTTAAATTTGAAGATTTGTCTGCAAATTCTTATTGAATTTTTCTTACACTAGGTGGCAGCAAGTGAATATGAAAACTTGGACATGGCGGGATGAAGATCTTCGTGCGTCTTTCTTCAGTTCCTGTGAGTATATCAGTGTTGTGTTCAACTAAACAGGCCAGAACTAAACACCAAGTAAGTCAATTCTGAGTAACTTGAAACTAGAAGATAGCCTTTGTTTTTTGAACACATGCAGTGTTGTCAAAACTTCCCGATGGTCTTATATGAGCATGTTATATATTATATAACACTACACATTCTGCAGACAGAGTGTAAAACTCCACCATTGGTCTGTAATGGGGGTTTACAATCCTTATGTAGGCCATGGGAGTACTGCAGTTCTGCAAAAATATAAATGTCTTTCGTGGCAAATTTGTGGTCTGGTGGAGAAAACATGTTTTGTAAGAGAAAGTTTTTGTCTTATATATACTTTATTTTCTTGCAATTCTCTCTGATAGAGAACTTTGGGTCTCGACGAGACAGCCCAGACTTTATTTTCTTGCAATTCTCTCTGATGACGAGACAGCCCACCAGCTGGGTTGCCTCTTTTGCAGTAAACAAGAAACAGTGTCAAAAATGGACTGCAGGAAATAATGAGCTTGGTGTGAAAGGACAATCGTTAGAAATTCCAAGTGCAAAACTTGGAGCAAAAAGAACCCTATTACAATTAATGCAAAGGGTTACAAAAAAATTCTCATTAAAATATACCTGAACTTAACAAGTCCAAAAAGATCATGCATTGGGCAATGGTGTCAGATGATGTTTATAAATGGCCACGGCACTCCTAGAAACTTCACATGTTTTGGACCTAATTGTAAAAATAGATGTACCTATGCATTTTATAAATAGCTTCACAATAAGGCCCATAAAACAAAATCAAATAAGTTATTGCGTGATTTCCCTACGGAGCGACGTAACTCGATTTTCGACGTAAGTACGTTTATCACTCACCTAAATTTCACTTTAAATTCAGGATGGTGAAATCTGGGAGGTAGCAACATGACCACGAAACACTGTAGGTCGAGGACGTCATAAACCACCGGACCCCCGTGTACAAAGTGTTTCTGTTTAAAACCCATTATATAATTCAATTTTTTTTTAACCGCTAGACTCATAAGCCATTCGAAAACGTTTCCTTTGTGCCAAAGAAGCTAAAACTCTGTAACAGCGCCGTCCTGCCTCTGACAAAGACCCTAACAAATGCTGTCTATCCAGCCATCTATCAACCTGTCCAAACAAAAAGCCACCCGGGTATTGGAGGGAAGTGGAGTGGAATGCGATGTCAGTACTGTAACTGATGACCGTACTCTTTAAAGGATTTAACATTTTGCCTCTAATGGTAGAGGAAGATGAACTCACATGTGCAGCCAACACTGTAGCCAGACTGATGCAGCCATTTGCGACAGCAATGACAAATGATAACAGTCCTTAAACACAACAGCAGAAAAGCATTCTCGGCAGCAGTTATCCTGAGACCAGAAAGGCTTTAGACAGAGATACAGATAAAGGGTTGACGCAGTCTCCAGAAGCTAGAAGGGGGGAGGAGGGGGCAGCTAAAGTGAAAAGCCATCATTTTATTCAGATGTGACTGTGATGAAAAGCCCGCAGGGAGATTAATTTCCCAGTAGCATGCCACCTTCTTGGCTTTTTTTTTTGACCCCAGCCAGGGGAAGATTGAATAGATAATTGTCTGAGAGCTTGAATTATTCTGCCCCTAAATGTCTCTGAATCATCTTCAGCATTATTTTGTTCACACCTTTATTTTTTTTTTTGCTCCTTCTCTACGGTGAGTTTCAATGAGTTTCCTAACAAAGCCATAAACACCATGGAGGAAAATAATGGAGTATCAGTTGGTATCGATATATAAATACTCACACACGAGTATCGATGTATTGAAAAACATAAACATAAAACTGCCTAATATACTAAAACATAACAATATAATTAAATAGCGAATTATAGAAAAAGTGGCTAGGGCATTATTTTCTATCTAACTAGAACAGTGATTCTCAACCACTGGGTCATGGCCCATTCAAATATCATGAGGGATCATTAGCTGTAGTGTGAAATATTATCCAATTTTTTTATTTATTTACCTCCACTAGGTGGCTAGAAAAATTTTAAAAAAGAAAGAGTCGCAGGTCATCATTTACAGTATGTCTTTCTTCAATTCCTGCCAGTACATTAGCATTGTGTATAACAAAACTGATCCAAGTAAATTGTGAGGTCAGGTCATTTTACTACATATTCTTTGACCTTTTGTTTGGCGTTACATCGTATAATTTGTCAAATGTTAAATATCCATCCATTTCTTGCGAAGTATCACAAGCATCATTTCATTAATAGAAATACAAATAACTGTATTAGTACGTGTCTGCAGAGAAAACCACCCCTCCGAAGAAACCTGCCAACAATATGGACATGTTTTTACATTTGTATACTGTACGTGGTAATGTACTCATTAGTACTGTGTGGGCAGAAGTTAAACGTATACATTTAAGCTGCAGCCTGGAGTTCCCTCTGGTTCTAGAACTGCAGTAGCGAGATCTACTTCACTAAATAAA